GTAGCTGTTAAAATAGCATTCAGAGTACGGAATATCAATCTAAACTCAATACTGTTTAGTTCATTCAATATCTACGCTATACGGATGCAATGGGTGCTAGTGTTGCAACTCGAGAGTACGAAATTTCACAATACCAATGTCGATCGACCGGAATTGGATTCAAGAGTAAGCCACCAGACGGGACCCCTGATGTTATGCGTTCAGAGTCGCCCATGGACGCCTGTAACACCAGAGGAAGTGTGGGAGAGCCATGCTTCGGCACGAATGGGCCGGCTCGACCGGAGTGATACCACGACCTCACAGAAAACCGACGTGAAGCAACGCTTGCGTTGTATTTCGTCATGTGAGTGAGGGTACCGGAGGCCCAATTACCCTCCCCTTCCCCAATCTCCCCAATTCCTGAATCCCCAACGATCCTCAAACTCCTAATCCCCAAAAGGCCGGTAACGCACTTGTAACGCTGGTGTTCCACGTGTCCATGGGCGACGCCGATTGCTTACCATCAGGTGATCCGTCTGCTCGTTTACCAGCTTATGCCATAAAAAAGAGGAATACGATTGTGGCCTGTTTTTGGGTTAGGGATTTAAAATTTGCGGATCCAAATAAGAACTTAGCTTGTATCCGTGCTTATAATTAAGATGATAGATTTAATGTTTAGAGTATTTTAAGCCTTATTTTATCATCACTGGTTAAGTTTCGTATAATGTAGGTCGACACTTGCATTCTAAAACAGTTTTATAATGCTTTGGACACAAAAGATTCTGTTTGTAGGTATTTGATGACATGGGGCCACGAAAGGCTTTTTTTTCTTTTTTTTTTATAAAACGTTGCCCCACCCTAGGATTATCTCCTGTGTCGTGGGTGCGTTTACAAACATACAAGTTCACATACACATGACACCCAGACCCGAAACAACAATTTGTGGATCACACAAAGTGTTGTTCCGTGCGGGAATCGAACCCGCGACACGTTGCACGGCAGCCGGGTACCCAGCCACCGCACCATCCGTGCAGTCACGGGGAACGGGTTGCCGGGGCTCCGGCTCGAAGAGTAGAAGTAGGTGGGTGGTTTATAGTTAGTCTGACACTCCCTTTCGCTTAATCTGTCAAACACCAAGCGGTCACCGGTGACCGCGACCTATTGTTCTTTAATTGTGTCTATAAAACCGGTACTCGACGAGTTAAACCAAGGCGGGAGAAATCATTGGATGATCTTTCTCCCCCATAAAAAAAGGTATTTGGTATTTGACATTTGACAATGAATAAAATGTCAAAGCCATTTGTCTTACGACAACCATTTAATGAGAATAGGTACTACGGTGACATCGATGATCGATCACGTAATAGATTTTGGAAATACGGAAGACACTAATTATTTCATTTCTCCTGGCCTTTTCCCAACCAGGTTAGGGTTGGCAATGCATTACTTAACACATAACATAACATCACACGTTTAACCCCGAAGGGGTAGGCAGAGGTGCACATTACTACACTTAATGCCACTGTAATACCTACCCACTTTTCACTATTTATGTTATGGGTCCCGTATATTACATGGGACTCAAAAGTGAACCTATTGCCAGTATGTGGCAATTCCAAACTCCGTGCTACTACTGATATTTTTTTTAAAACCCAGTAGGTTGTACTTTGTCCAACCCGGGAATCGAACCTGAGACCCCTTGCCAGTAGCTGCACTTGCGATTGAGTAATTGGGTAACCTCACTCACGCGGCGAAACACAACGCAAGCGTTGTTTCACGTCGGTTTTCTGAGAGGCCGTGGTATCACTCCGGTCGAGCCGGCCCGTTCGTACCGAAGCATGGCTCTCCCACACTTCCTATTAAATTATTTTGCTTATATGAGGAACCAACTATCGTATCGTCATTGTGACTATTAATACAACACTTTGTATCATATCCTGGCTACTTTATCAGCCCATTCAGCATTATTATTATCATCACACCATTCACATCGCTTAGGTACTTAATCTACTGGTTTTATTTAATTGTAATGCTATAAAAATAAAATTAATTATCTCATTTGTCGGTCCAAGGTCTATAAAAAGTTTTACTATGTTTTTAAACAAAGTAACACTACGCCTTTTGGTGCCTGACAGGCAGGCAAAGATACTCATTGCACATTTCTTAATTATATCACACTAGCAAACCCGGCGAACTCCGTTTCGCCACCAGATGGCTTCGTTTTACGTAACATTCTTTGCTATAAACCTCACGGAGCCCGAGACCTTTCCAACGAATGCAAAACCGTGGAAATCGGTTGGTGCATTCTGGAGTTATAGCGTCAGGAAGGAAAACTCGACTTATTTTTATATAGTAGATGAAACTCCACATTTTTTATAAGAGAACCATGCTTCGGCATGAATGGGTCGACTCGACTGAAGTGATAGTGGTATTCAGTGGCGTAGTGTGCCTTGACGGGGCCCTGTATAAAAAAATATTTAGGGACTCTTATGAAAGGTAAATAAAAGAGGAGGAGGATTACTCACAAGAGATTTTTTTTATAAGCCGGTAAACGAACAGATGTATCACCTGATGGTAAGCAATCGGCATCGCCCATGGACACCTGGAACACCAGAGGCGTTACAAGTGCGTTACCGACCTTTTGGGGATTAGGAGTTTGAGGATCGTTGGGGATTCAGGGATTGGGAAGATTGGGGAAGGGGAGGGTAATTGGGCCTCCGGTAACCTCACTCATGCGACGAAACACAACTAATCATAAAATAGGTGCTAATAATTTGTTTGCAAATCGGAAAGCTTTCTAGGTAACTAACTGCTTCTGCCCAAATTATCGAACTATGATTACTTTAGTTTTCCTAAAGTTTCTATCAACCTTTGAACGCATGCGTTACGGGGTAAAAAATCGTTTATTTTGACTTAAATAAAATAACAATTATGAAGATTTTATTGATTTTGGCTTACGTGTGTAGGGGGCTCTCGTAGTCTTTGGGCCCCGTATAATTGATACGACACACACTTTTGTTACTCCTTATGTTAGTTTGTGCTTACCATCAGGTGAACTGTTTCCTAGTTTGCCCTCTACATCATAAAAAATACACTTTTTATGACATTCAGCTCCAGACTGATAAAGTTTTTGAATGTCGATCCAAATTGTGAACACAAGCTATTGCGATTTTAAAATAGGTAAGTGCAGATAACAACATACGAGCTACTTGAACAAATCAGGAAGCCAGCCAGTTGCGGTCGCCGTAAATATAATACGAATATGAAATACGTAATAACTGCGCCATGTTATATCAATTCTAGTAATATAGTGCCCAATAAAGGTGCCTAACCGTACATCTAGATCTTGATATCACTTAGTATCAGTTATGAAGATATCTTAATTAGTTTTTAAGTCTGTCTGGTAGATTGCGGAAAATTTCCGCGTAGTATAAAAGGGATGGTGTTAATTATTTTAATAATTAATGTCGATCTCGTGTGAAGATTAATTTAAAACATTAACAACGTACTCTTTCTTATCTTTCTGAATCAAAAACTTTCGAAGTTATTATTTCTTTGAAATACAGTGTGACGCACGAATTAGTTCATTTTATACTGAGAAGTCGAGAATCGCCACGTGTCGAGGGAATGCTTGCTTTTCACAAATGTGCCGATTCGAATGATACCACGGCCACACCGAGCACTGGCGTGAAACAGCAATTGTGCGGTGTTTTGTCGTGTGAGTGAGGTTACAGCAGGCGCAATCCATACCCTATAGAGATGGGTATCTCTAAATCTCCAATTGACCAGTAACGCACAATTGTAGCTCGTACAGCACCAACTGCTTGCCATCACGTGATCAGGTGATAACTTTCTATCCCATAAAAAACAAAATTAAGGGTTTATTTATTTAATTCCGAACTTCTTCTGTCAGTATCGGATAAGAACATATTTTAACCCATTGCATATTGAAGATACGTATTTTATTTATCCTTTATTCTGCTTTCTGAAACAGGCCTTAGAAATAAGTCAAACAAGCCTCCGCTTGGATGACCTAAGAGATATTTCCCCTTCATACTATCATTTTTCTTATTGACCACTCCAATAATTGGTAACACAGGGTCAATAACAGTTACACAAGTTACACACTTAGAAAAGACAATGAGCAAATAATCGGGCCAAGTCGCGGGCAATAAGTAAGTAGTTCTAGTTAGTATGTGAATAAATGAAACCCAGAATCTTTTAATTCACCTATCGCAGCCCCCATAGCTGCGAGGTCAGTAACACCTATGCAAATTCACTTTTAATATTCAACGAAATTTTAGCGTACACCGATAATAAAGTATCTTATGCACACACGTCATTACATCAGACTACCCCAAAATTTCTAATTTATTCAAGTCATTTCCAACTTTATTACAGGACTGTAAAGTTCAAAATTCTAAGAGACTGAAATAGCGTCATTTGTTTCTATTTTCTAATAATGCAGGATGCTCTAAAATGTAGCAACATTCGATGCAGTCTCGTAGATACGATAGCGACGAATCAGGAAATTGTGCAATACGTTTTCTATTACATTACGTCGTGGCTTCCATGCCGTCCGTCCCGGAAGCCGGTACACTCGACCTCTCGACTTCAATAGCATATTTGTAACTCAAATCCCTCTTAATATCCAGGACATTATTTCTAGAAAATAGCCAAGTAGGAACAGCAAATCTTGGCAATGAGATCTCAAGATAGGTAAACTAGTTTTAGTCACCCAAAGTGAAACGGATTAATATCGTAGAATTGAAAATATTGAGCAAAACAAAGATGGTAGTGAAAACATGAAATCATTAAACAGTAGGTATACATATCCAAAACGCATTTTGATCAGTAACATCCTGCAATTTAAGAGTTGCAGCGGTCGCTTTGTACTAAAACGGCGTGTCAACACAACACTGTCAATGGCCAATCAGAACCCTTTTGAATGGTTCCAGCCAGACGTTGTTTGTTGCTAATCTTAGACGGGACAAAAAACGGAGTCGGGTTGTGTCCCTTCTTTCACGGTCCCTCGTCGCAGGCGTGCGTCGTCTCTCCGAGTCTCGGCCGCTTCCGAGCCTAACCGCGCGATCAAACGAGTATGGCTAGCCGTCAGCAGTACGCCGCGCGCCGCCACCCGGGTCGCATGTGCTGCGTCGCTAACCGAGCTTTACACAAACTTGCTTCATCGCAAGTTTAGACATTTAAGTGCATAAACCAACTGATATATTTCATGTGTTTTCGGTGTTCATACTAACCGTGTGAGACGAGTGCTTGCCCTGGCCACGCAAATGCGGGTTTTGTATATTAGTGGGTGGAAAAATAAACAGAACTCTCCGGTAAGTTTATTAATGATTTAAATCATCTTATCTTTTTCTATCTAGTGAAAATGTGTAGTCTCATGGGAACTGCAATCCTCATTTTACGAGCAACTGTTCCATTAGGATCGAATACTCCGAACGAGCTAATGTCATAGGTGCCGTTAATATGTTTGTGACATTTTCGAATCTCGTCATCTGTTTAATTATGATCTCAGCGAAAGTGGAAACGTATTTTTTATCAGTCCCGTCTCTCGATATACATAATATAGTGGTCGTTAAAACGGTAATGATGTGTACACATGCGGACGGTTTGCAGCTTATCGTCACATCATTCACACTTCCTTGCACTGTTTGATATGAATAACGAAATAAATGTCCAAGCTCAGTATCCTCAAAACTTTTTAAATTTGGACACAATCCTCAAAAAGTTTTTAATCAACGTTTAAACATATTTAGCCACAACAGGTCTTACAAGGTCATAAGGCGACAAAAAAGTAACTGCATCAACTGAGATCGCATTCTGATTATGTTTCACAACGATATCTTTGGAGCATCTAAGGCATTTGTAATGAAGATACAATGTTGCACCACTGGTCTTGCGAAAGTGCTTGAAGTGCATGTTTTAGGAAATGAAGTAACATTCACCCCTGCAATTAGACCTTCAGATAGGAGATATTTCAGCTTACCAAAAACATTTTAATTGAATATTTAATTTTAATCCATAAGGACTACTTTGAGAAGTCATAGAACTTCTGATAGAGTCACAGAAGCTTTGAAAATCTGATCACAATATCATGTGACATTGAATCAAGGGGCTGGTCAAGTCTAGGGCAAAGATAAGGGTAATTTTAATTACAGTAATCGATACACTAAATGAGGACTACCTCTGCAACATTCACCAATAGAAATGTATTTAAATGTTATTGTTTTACTAAATATCAATATTCCACAATGTAAACAAGGTTGAAGAAATGCAAAATTGGACTAAAGTATTGATTTCGTGATTGCTGCAAATGATAACCAAGTTACTGAATGAAAGATTTCAATATAATAGGAAAATATTATTGAGCATGAAAGAATCTCTAACCGAGAGCCAAATTACCCATTATAAATAAAAAGATCATGGATTTTCTAGTAACTGAATAAATTGTAGACGAAGTGTGGCGAACAGCAAAAACGGCGTGGAAATATTGCATAATGATTAGTGTCAGTATAATTTAATACATCAATATTAATTGGTTAGGGAGGAGGGCGTACGTGACTGCACTCTTTGCAATGGCATGACTAACAGAACCCTTGGAACTATCCATACATAAAACATGCCCTTGAATATTGCAGTATTCCCTAATGAATACGCTTCAAACCAGGCGTCACGCTTGAATCACACCCCTCTGTCGTTGGCCGGGCTAAATCAATAGACCGGCACATATGTTCTGCGACAGACCGACATACGCCATGCAGGACACAATGGACCAGACGTACTAGCTCAAAGGTGAATAGCTAAAAGTCGTCCATATAAAGCATCACATGTAGAAAGCTATTGTTCTTGCAATAATAACGTTTTTGGGGACACTGCTGAAAGCCTAGGAACTAGAATTACTTTTAAACTCATCAGACTCATACGTATATACTACTAATACCGCGGTTTTGTTAAATTTGCAGCCTGTATAATAAATCTCTTAATATATCATTTTTGGAGAAATGTCAGGTGCTACCTATATATAGTGGAGTAATTAAACTGTCAAACACCAAGCGGTCACCGGTGACCGCGACCTATTGTTCTTTAATTGTGTCTATAAAACCGGTACTCGACGAGTTAATAAGTAAAATAATGCAAATAAAACTACCCGAATCTTGAAACGATTTAATTAAAAGTACAATCATAACGAATGCAAATAATTTTCCTCTCATTAACAATTAAGGCCTGGTATACACGGACTGTTTGGGTTTTGTGGAGCAGAAATAAAGAGTTTACGATATTAGATAATTTTATAATCATTTTTTATACATTTGCAACATAGTGTTTTAGTTTTTATTTAAATAACTTAATCACTTTAACTCGTCGAGTACGTGTCACCGGTGACCGCGTGGTGTTTAACAGTTTAAACTGTCAAACACCAAGCAGTCACCGGTGACCGCGACCTATTGTTCTTTAATTGTGTCTATAAAACCGGTACTCGACGAGTTAAACACTAAAACTAATTTAAAAATAGTATACATTAACTATGAGACAAAAATGAAATTAAAACTTTATACACTAAAACTAATTTAAAAATATACATTAACCATAAGACAAAAATTAAATAAAAATAACTATTTACATAGAGCATCGAAAAATTCGTCCGCAAATAATATAATTTTATCAGTTTAATGTTCTCAAGATTCATACATTTAGGTACCGACACTATATTTAACGGGTTTAAACGATTATGCAGTCAGGATCGGTTGCTTCAAATGCGACTACGTAGTAAACTACAGACTTCTACCTACGTACATACACGAACAGCTCGGCGTTTGACAGCACGGTGAAATTTCATCTGCGGTCAAGAAGTCGCCAGAGATAGTTAGACTGACTGTTCTCGTGCCTTCTCCGGCTCTCTTCCTCCTCAAATTCCATGATGCTACTAATCAAATAACATAGAAATCGCTATATGCTGGAGCAGTGAGCAATGGCAGCGTCAGGCTGTTGACTCTGTCTGCAAGAGCGATCCTTGTATGTATATCACCGGGTAACTGGTCGAGCAGTCGGTGTATCGCAGGCCTTAGTCGATTTTAATCATCATAAACTACCTGCTTAATATTGTGTACCTAACAATATTACGTAGGTAGTCAGTTTTTGCTCGCTTGTCATTTAAAATACGTCCAACTGAGCGGAACAATTCGCACAATTGTCTTAAGGAAGTATTCTGAATAGTCTTTCGTGGACAAAAGAACTCGGTCTATTCATAAGCCTATCCGACTGACAAGACCAGGTAAGCGTGACCTTTCAAATACAGCTAGTTCATATGTTTCAATGAATATGTAATTAGGTCGAAGGATCAATTTTAAATGGTGATACAGCTCTCGTTGTTCCTTTCATCGAACACCACTTAATGACTTTTAAAGCATCGACTTGATGAAATTTATACCCTTCAAGGATACCCTTCAAGGGAATAATAAAAATATATTATTATTTATCGATTTCAAATCAGAAAACATGTTGAGGTGTAAAATCTATTGTTAAAGGAAATAGGATTGTAAATCCATAGATGAAGTATTGGTATTGCACGAGACACGTTCGTTAATAGCTCGCTATTAGACCCGAACAAGTATTAACTTTTCAAAAGGCTTTTCTGTAATATGCATTCCGTCATAACATTTATGTTCCACAATTCATCTTCTTCTATAGGGTAGAGAATAAAAGAGACTAAGATATGCTCGATCAGAATCGACTTAGCGAAAGAGGATAAACGTTTAGTATTTAGTATTCAAAGTCCTGAAAATACTGAATACTAAACGTTTTTTTTTAGTTTTTACGGTTTTTAGTCAGTAAGAGTCTGACACTCCCTTCCGCCTCACCCAGGCGGGAGCAGTCATTCGATGATTTTCCCCCCTAAAAAAAAAAGTCCTGAAAATCGAATTAGCGAATATTAAGTGACTACATTTTTGTTGATATTTTAATGTAATGGTGTCGATAGTTTAAGTTATATATCTTTAACAGCAACTTTAACATTAAAAATAGTTTTAAAGATAACGAAGGATCCGTGCGTGCCAGCCAGTGGCAACTAAGGTCCGAGTGTTTAGATAAGTCAGTTGGTACAATACGGCGTGCATTCCTCGCCACCGACCGAAGTTGGGAATTAGCCATAACTTATTTTAGAGCCTTTTGCACCGTCAGCTCAACAACAGGCTTCGTTTCACACACGCGCACTCGACTCGGGACGTTAACGGCTTGTGTTCTATTGTTTTTGCACACGCCAAAGTTTTATGCGTCAGCTCATGCAGACATTTTTGAAGCGAATATCTTTTGAATTTTTCTTGAGATCTCGTTGCAATTAGAAAAAACGGTATTCAGCTGATAGTGACTTAAAAATATTTCTTTAATTTTTGAGGCCCCTAATTTGTGGTTATTTTTGTCGAAATTCTCATCTAATTCCATTTAATACTTCCTTGACAAAATCTTATCTTAACTTAGAAATTTAATGGAATAGAATCATTTTCTTCTAAAATTCTCCACTTAGTGAAATTACCAAAATTAATTAGAGCCTGGGTTTACTTGCACACTATCAACAAACGAGGTTCAATGGTCGGAACGTTAATCAGAATTTATCAGAAGTACTGTTACATTACATTTGTATAACAAAAGCTCGGTTATGACGTTGTAAATAAATTCCTAGTTAGCAATAAAAGTCTTGGTATGCGGCATTCACACTATCGGTGATAACAGTAAGGAATTAATATCTTACGTTTCGACCTACGTTATTACTAAATCTTGATTAAAATTAAAAAGTAATTACTGGTTGCGTTCTTATCTGTAAAAAGTCACGTTTTTGTATAATGTGGTTGTCAAAGATATACTTAAGCTTCCTCATGCGAACCGCTAAGGAATGGAATTCCTTGCCAGAGGCTGTGTTTCCCGTCAAATATGACTTGGGTTGCTTATAGGTAAGCGTGCTCCATCGATGGTGGTCAAACGCCGACCTATAAAGTGTAAAAAAAATAGACCTTTTTAGGCTAAGGATTCACGGCGCGATCTTCTCCCGCGACCGCCGCGATGGCAGAATGGAGGCGGTATTTTCAAAACCCATGAGATCGCAGTTTTCTGCGATCCGACAACCGCCGCGGTTGCGATTATCGCCCGCAAACTAGGCGGTTGATCGCAACCGCAAGACGAACTGGCGGTTAAACAAACAGTTGAGTACCTGTAGCCCGATTCACGTAATAAAAACCGTAGCGATATCGTAGCGACTTAATCGTTTAATATTCTGGTAGAATACATAATTGTTTAACTGGCGATGAAACGTTGATGAATCGTTTAG